TCTGTCTCAATAAAGTTGTTTGTTTGTCTGCTTGCTTGTTTATTTAAGACAGGATCTTGCTGTGTAGTCCAGGCTGGGCTCAAATTTGGAATGTGTCTGCCTCAGCCTCCCCAGTAGCTGGGATTACAAGTATGTACTACTACTGTGCCTGGTATTTTTAAAAAGTGTAGGCTGGGGGTGTAGTTCAATGTCAGAGCACACTCCTGGCATGCAAGAAGGTCCTGGGCTCCATCCCCCAGCTTCAAAAAAGGAACAAACAACACAACAACAACAAAACTCAAAAACTCATAAACACTGAGAAAGCACCAGGCTATGGTTCATAGTGCCACGCTATGTGCCCTGTGCCTAGGAAAGGCGTAAGGGGTGAGGGTGAGAATGTGGTGCTTCTCCCTGTGTGGCTAGAACTGGTGTGCTTTACATTCACATCTTTGTCTTGTTTTTTTGGTATCAGGGATCAAACTCGGGCCCTTGTGCTTGCGAGGCAGGCTGCAGAGCTGAGCCAACCCCCAGCCCTTGTCTGCATTTTCTTATTTTCTGTAAGGAGCACAAGTATGTGTTTCTTTGGTGAAAGAAATATAAGGAAGAGGGACCAGAAATTCTTTGCAGCCTCCTCCTCAGCTAGTTTGCTCCCCAAGAGTCAGGTCCGAGCCCCACAGGCAGATCCTCCTGTCCTATTTGTCCTTCCCAGGAGCTGCAGGGCCTCGGATGGGCACTCCTGCCCTAGAGGGCGCAGACACAGGCACCTCTCCACTCCCCAGCAGACACCCATTTCTGGGATGTGGAGACTGAGCCCTAGGTGGGGTGGAGCTCAGAGCCTGCTGGCCTAGGCCCGAGCTGCCTCACTGCCTTCTCATTGGAGGAAGGGCAGAGGGCGCTTCCGCACCCTACACCTACCCCAGCCCTCAGTGGCCACCCGTTTCCTGTGCTTCCTAACTGGCTGCTCGCTGCCAGCCCTTCCCCTTTCACCCTCTCCTTCCTCAGCCTCCCTTGGACTACAGCTCTCCTACTCATTAGGCAGGAGCCAAGCCATTGCCCACCTTGACCTGGGGCTCCAGCCCAGCACTACCCCACTAGCCAAGTCCAGGCCCCTGTCCTCCCCGGGACCCTCAGCCGGGGGCCGTGTCTCTAATGTCCATGGCCCTGCTGGAGTCGCATACTTGTTCCGCATGGACCACAACCCAGCCCTGCACAATGAACACAGTCTCCGTCCGTGACTCAATGCTAGCAGCCCGTGGGTCAGATTCCTGCCTCTGGGATCTGAGACGAGGGACCAGGCTTCTCTGGGCCCTGTGTCCTCCTCTGAGCTGGAGCTGTGGGGTTGGACCAGAGCAGGCATGGGTGCATTCTGGCCTGGGGACAGGCTGGCTGCTCTGTGACCTTGCCCTGGTGGCTCCTAGTCTCAGTGACACTGGTAACACTCTGTTAGATAGGACCTTGTCATCAGACTTCCCTGACTGTGCCTTTGTCATGGCTGTTCAAGGATGCTGAAGCAAGAGACCCTTCGAGAACCCTCCCAACAAACACACACACACACACACACACACATACACACACACTCACACACAACGTGCTGTCTTTGCTCTGGCCCCACCCCCACCCCAGGACAAGTCTCTGGGCTGTTTTGGCGGCCCCTGCACACTCGCGTTCCCAAGTTGACACCTTCTGTGTCAGCGGGCAGCCGGAGGGTGTGAAGGTGGCCGCGGGCTCGCTGGTAATGAGAATACCACCCGGCACTTGCCCCTGCCCACCTGCCCGCCCTCATTCCTACAGCCTGACACCCCAGCTCTTGGAGGGGACTTGGGAAGGGCCAGAAGGGAGGCGTGCGCTCAAAGGCCGGCCTTAAGATGGCTTTCATCCTGCTCAGGAAGAGTGTGCTGGTAGTGGACTCCCTGGAGTGGGGCTGCAGCAGCAAGGGGCTGTTGGTGCAGGGTGGGCATTGCTAGGCCTCCAGGGCAGGCTGGATGGGGCACAGTGCCTGCCCTCACCCTCTGCTGTGAGCATGAGGGGCAGCCTGGGGTCCCGGCTCCCACCTGAATGTGGGAACACTGGCAGCACCAGGCTGGCCCGGCCACAGCAGCCCTGCTTGATGCAGCAGCCAGCATCAGGCCCAGCTGAGCCATGGGTTCCAGGCGTGGAGGAGAACAGGGTGGCCTCAGCCAGAAGCTTCTGGGCAACCTTGCTCTGCATTACCTCACCTGAGACTTCCAGAGCCCCGAGGCCATGCCTCCCATCCCCTCCCTGATTTAGGGCCTCAGCTCTTAAAGACTTCTGTGGTCACCAGGACCAGCATGTTATAGTGTGGCGCTAGCAGGAGCTGTTAACAGCCGTCTACTCCAGTCCCAGAAGTGCTTGGCATGTCCTTTTCTGGCCTCATCTGGATCGTGTCCAGGAACTGCTCACTCTCTCCTTCCTGGAAAATCCTTCAGACTCTTCCTGGAGTGTCCTGCTGGCCCTGGGCCTTTGGAGGCAACTATCACATTCTCTTATTTTTTCCTTCTTGGACCAAACACCCCAAGCCCTTCAGCTATTTTGCTGGGGACTTGGCTTCCAGCCTCTCACCAAACTCTCCCCTCAGCTAGGGATTGTGTCCAAGCCTCATCAACCATGGCCCTGGGTTTCACCACGTACTGTACACTTGATCTTAGTCAAAAGGCCAAGAAGTGACCACACCATGTACTGTAAGTACGGGGAACTGGAACTATCACCTCCTTGGCTGAAGATATCCTCCTCCTTGCAAGTTCACCTTTGCCCCTAACACGTGGGAGGCAGTGATCCTCCAGCCCTTCCTACACACACTGCCATTGACTGATTCTGGACCCTGAACTTAGAGGAAGGCGAGCCTGGCTCTGTGGATTCCATCTTATTACATCTGAGGGCTGTTCAGGCCTGTCAGGATCCCTTTAGGTCCTGGCTGTTACCCAGTTCACTTCCGGGTTCAGGTCTAACCCCAAGGGAGTTCAGTTCACATCTTCATGCAAAACCATAATACTGCAGGACAAAGCTGGGGGTGGGTCATGAGAGCCGTTCTTCCTACCTTCTGGGTGGACTCCTGCCCAGTCCTCTTTTCAATTCTCAGTCAGTTGTGAATTCACTTAACAGTCAGCCAGCTTGCTGGGCCCTCGCAATGACAAGGAAACCTAGGAACTTTCTCATGTGCAGCCAGGCATTATGATTGGCTGCTCATAGCACACACTCAAAGTTCTGCTTAAATACTTTAAAGAAATCCGGAGGTGGACGGTCCAGACCTGGTACGGTCTCCTGCTTCCATTTATTCCATCAATAAGTAAATAAATTGTTGTCAGTGTCTCAGGCTTCTCTTTACTTCACCATCTTCAGTGTACGGTTTCTGTGCCTGAGACTGCTTCAGGCTCACAGTAAGGTAACTAAAGTCCCAAATGTCACATGTTTTCCAGATAGGAAGAAAATACGAGGGAGCAGAGCCACCGGACCTTAGCTCTCCATTTTAAAGAGTTTTCCCAAGGCAGGCTGGATGGTACACACCTGTGATCCCAGCCACTTGGAAGGCAGAGGCAGAATTACAAGTTCAGGGCCAATCTGGTCAATTTAGGGAGCCTTGGTCTCAAAAAAGGCCAAAGGCGTGGCTCAGTGGTACTGCTGTCCAGCATGTGGGAGGCCCTGGGTTCAATTCCCAGTATGGGGGCAGGGAGGGGGCACGAGTGAATTTAGAGGGTTTGTTTAGGTTTATCCTCTGTGACAATTAAGTTTGAAGCCAGCCTGGGCAATGGAAGGTGACTGCTATCTCAATAAAAATAATTAAAATAAAGAGCTCTCCCAGAAGCTCCAACCAATGACACGGGCCATTGCATCCGCGTGTTAGCCACAACACAGGTCCTACTATTAAGGAAGAAAGATGAACAGAGGTGTTTAATAGATACTGCGTGGTAACTAGCAGTGTCGGCCACGCTCATGAAGTCCACACACTCATGACCACGCTGCCCTACACAGCGCCTCCATCTCAGGAGGGGCACAATGAGGGCCGGACAGTACCCAGCTGGATCCTTCCTTGGAATGGGTCAGTCAGATGCCAGAAGTGGGGAGAAGGGCCCGGGGGACGGGATCCATGGCAGGCTTGTCTGCTCTGTCCTCAACGCCAGCTCCAGCTCCAGCACAGAGGAAATCCAGGCTCCACACGCCCTGCATCGGGGTGGTCTGTGTGAGGGTCCCCCCTGCAGGCAAGCAGCTCAGGCCCTATCACAAAAGCAGCTCCTTCTGAGGCCACACTGTAGTCTTGCCTAGGAGCACCGGTCGGCAGCAGTGCCAGGCACCTGAGCTCTCCTGCTTCCTCTGCCCTCTGTGGGGAGAGGAGCTGGTGTCCTGCTGAGTACGGCTCCATGCTGGGTCCCAGAGAAGAGGCAGGAGATGGAGGACAGGGTAGGGAGGGACACCCAAGGCCTGGGCTGGACAGACGCAGAGAAAGAGACACTTTCCTTCTGCCAGGACCAGCGCTGAAGAAGTGACCCCCCTTGCAATCAGTCTACTCCTTTACCAGCCTCTGCTGCCCTGGAGCTTGCTATAAACCCAACACCAGCTAAATACTATGACAAGCACTATCACATTTTACCCCAATTACCCCGGTATCAGAATCCCCACTTTATAGATGAGAAAACTGAGAGTAAGTTTCCTTCCCAAGCAGCGGAGCTGGGACCCTAAACCAGGCAGACCCCTGGGACACGACAGCCCAGCTCTCGCCTCTAGAGACCCTGCCACCCAGGACCTGGGGGGAATCTGCTTTAGTATCCTCCTGGAGATGAGGCTGACACAGTGCCTTGTGCTTCAGGAGCCTGGCTGAGGGGCCAGGGAAGAACCAGGGGCCACAGCAAGCCCAGGTGCTGTCTTCCAGGACTTAGACCATGATATCCCACATTTGGCCTAGGCCTGGGCTCTGGGCCAGACCAAGCCAAGGTCAGAGCAGGCCAGGTTAGCCCAGAGAGGCAAGGGTAGTAGGCTTCACGTGCAAGGGCCCATGCTCGGGTGCCTGCCTGTTATTCGTCAATGCTGCTCACGGGGACTCTCTGCAGACTGGCTCTATAGGTGTGCACTGGGGAATGGTTCTGGATCTTTAACGGTCACAACCTTAATGAAGACCACGAAGCTGTTCCACCACTGACTGCATATGCGGCTGTTCTGCTCAGCAGAAAACTAGAAACACACTAGAGAGGTATCAGTAAGGGACAGACTGTAGTAGGTGATTTGCAGTGGAATATTATACAGTAGTTAAAACGTGTGAGTCAGAAACATCATAAAAACCCATGGAAATTCCAGAGCGCAGATCAAGATTTCTATGTACAGGGGTGCAGACAGGTGGGGGAAGTGACTGCCAACATCCTATATCACAGTAGGGTCACTATGTTTGATGACAACTAGTTGTATAATTTCAAATGACTAAGTGAGGGGATTTCAAATGTTCTTAGTACAAAGAAATGATAAATGTTTAGGGTGATGGATAAGCCAGTTACTGAAATGTCAACTGTACCCCAGCAATATGTACAATTATTTATCAGTTGCAGTGTTGCCACCATTCATGAACTCAATTTGTCCTACAATTTTGGAAAACATGGCCACAGTTGTGTTTATCATCCAATGCAATTTGCATTCAAAATTATTTTTTTGCAAAACACTTCTGTTTGGGAACCCAACTGTTTGCAAATGGAAGCATTTGTGAACTGAGGTACCACTGCACATGGTTTTGAAAGCCATGTCGTGAAACCTGATGAATGTTGCTTTTAACTGTCAGGTACATGTGAGTTCATTCCTTGACAGGTAATATGTCAAGAAATTTATATCTCTGTGTGGTCTTGAATGAATAGATGATACATTTACACTCTATCTGCCATTATTCCAACTGAAAAAAATCTAGCTTTGAATGTTTTTGAGTCCCCGTTTCTATAAGGAGATAGTGTTTTTGAAATCTTATTCTAAACCCTCTTACATCACTGGATTAGTATGTTTTCCATTGCTATAGCAAAATACCAGAAGCTGAATAATTTGTAAAGAAAAAGAGTTCCGTGAGCTCACAGTGCTGGGGACTCCAGAGCATGGTGCCAGATTCTCCTCACACTGCTGAGGTTGTGATGGCCAATGGCATCACTAACATGGGAGGATATGTAGACAACAGATTATGTGGTTTCGCTATTAGTCCATGCTGGCTTTGAACTCACTACGCAGTCCAGGCCAGCCTCGAACTCTCAGTGATCCTCCTGCCTCAGCCTCCTGAGTGCTGGGATTATAGGCATGTGCCATCACTCCAGGCCTTGGTCTTGCTCTTTGTAACAACTATCTCTGATGGCAACTAATCAGAGCCTAGGAGAACTGCATTAATCTTGCAAGGATGCACCCCCAATAACCTGCCTGTCACCCACTGCCCCCCTCCTTGTCCCCTGAGGTACTCAGGATTGAAGCCTGGGCCTTGGAATTGAGCTACTTCCCCAGCCCTGCCTTTTAAATTTATTTTTCCTGCCTTATTTTTATTGGTAAACAATTGCAGGACCTAATGATTACATTCCTAGTGGGGAGCTGGTACATGTACGTAACATCTTCTTTTTTTCATCCCCCATCTCTTGGTCCCTTCCATTTTGCAAAAGACCAATCTCCCTATTTCCTATTGTCTGTTTTTTGTTTTGTTCTTTATTTATGGTTTGGTTTTCTCATACAAGAGAAACTGTGTATCATTTTTTGGCCTTTTGGCTAAAATCAAGTGTAAGAGAAACTGTGATATTTAAGCTTCTATCTGATTTATTTCACTTAACATTGTGGCTCAATTTTTTTTTTTTTAATCTGTAGATAAAACTCATGACCTTGAACTTGTGAGGCAGGTGCGGCACCACTGAGCTAAATCCCAGCCCTAACATTGTGGCTTGAAATGCATCCATTTTCCTACAAATGACTCAACCTGATCCCTTTATTTTTTTAATTTTTAATTTTTTGGTACCAGGGATCAAACTCAGGACGTTGTGCTTGCTAGGCAGGTGGCGGCCACGCTCTTTATTTTTTATTTTGACAGAGTCTAAGTCACTAAGTTGCCAGATTGAATTAGAATTTGAAATCCTCCTACCTCAGCCTCTCTGAGTTGCTGGGATCGTATGTGTGAAACACCATGCCCAGCAATTTGACCCATTACTGGAAAAACGGGTCCTGACACAGAATGGTCTTTAATCATATGCCATTTAAAGAAAGAAAAAAAATCCAGCACATTACAGGGCGACACATGCAATGTAGAATGTGCATAACAGACCTGCATAAGTAGTGTCTCAGCCTATGTTCTGCTGCTGATTGAATACTGCAGACTAGGTAAGTCGTAAGGAAATGTATTTCTGACAGTCCGGAGGCTGCGAGGTCCAAGAGCTTGGCACTGGCATCTGGAGAGGGCAGAGAACACTGTATGGTGAGACAGTGAGCATATTAGAATACACCTGCTTTCCTAGTAACGCCTCTTCCTGAGAGCGCACCAATCCCGCAGTGAACAGATGATTCAGGAGGGCAGAGGGGTCAGGACCCAGTCACCCCCAAAGGTACACCTCTCAACCTGCTGCACTGGGACCAAGCTTCCAGCACAGGAAATCAGGTGGGGTGGAGAGCAGACCCAAACCACTGTAGGCACTGTGTGCCTTCTAAGGATACCCAAGTTTACACAAACACACAACCAAACAACTGCTGTCACCTCTAGGGAGTCACAGGTGTGGTTAAAGGGGCTCCAGCTTCATCATTTCTATTTCTCCCAAGAGCAATGTACTGATTATGTAACTTGGATAACTGAAAGTTGATTTTTTTTTTTTTTTTTTTTTTTTTTGGAGACAGGGTCTACGTAGTTGAGACTGACCTGGAACTCACTATGTAGCCCAGTCTGGGCTTGAACTCACAGTGATCCTCCTGCCTCAGCCTCCTGAGTGTTAGGATTATAGGTGTGTGCTACCATGCCCAGCTAGTGAAAGTTGATTTTTAAAAACAGCCATGAAAAATTTACAAGGCCGTTTGCTACCTCAGGCTGCTGTGGGCTGATCTATTTTGATCATTGTTGTCATGTTGACCTTTAGTTGATGGCTGGTTTTTAAAATTATGTCACCCTTCTTAAAAATCCCTATGACTTCCTATGGCCTTGGGAACAACACCTAACTCCTTAGCCCAACCCCAGCCTTCCAGTGCCCTGGGGGTCCACTGCCACACTTCTGCTTGCACGAATCCTTCTAGAATGTTCTCCCACTCCCCTCTCCCTGCTCAAATCCTGGGTCAAGGCCCAGATTCGATCTTTCTACCTCAGTGTCCAGAGCCTGACTGTCTCTGGCCCTCTTAGCCTTCAGGCTCAGCCCTTTCCTCTGATGCTTTCTTCAATGTATAATTGTTGCTGACAACATTTACGCTGTAAATTTTACAATCATTTCTCACGTGAGTCCTGTAATTAGATACTATAATTATTCCTGTTTGATTTAGCTCTGGTTAAATTCAGGTTAAAGACCCTGCCCAAGGGCCCCTACCTAGTGGTGGAGCTACTAGTTATATAATGGACTGTTCATGTGTCTTTCAAGACTAAAATCTCAGGAGAGCAGAGGCAGTGACTAGCTTGATCACCCCGGTGTGGCTGGCATTTACCAGCTGCTAAATAAATATTAATCAAATGAATAATGCCCATAAATGCCTTGATGTTAGTACATTCTTTTTTAAATGAGACCAGTAAAAGGCCCATGATTCTGGGTGCTCTACAGGGATCATCCCAGGTAGCAGGAAGCTTCTATTACTATCAGAAGGATGAGACCACCTGGACCCACAGGTGGTCAGTGATCTGCTGAAGGCCATGCAAAGAAGCCAACCTAGGGGGTCACTTTCACCCATTTCCATGGCTCACTGTACCTCTTCTGTCTTCTCTAGGGTTCTGGGTTCCAGTCCTCAGGTATACAAACATGGGCAGTGAGATGATTTTCTCAGCGACCCTCTGCCAATGAGCACGTGTGGGTTCTGAAGGTCCCACGGAGGTCCCCCAGAAAGCAGACCCCATCCCTATGACCATGGCAGGCCCGGTGAGTTCCTAGGCACAGCTTGTGGAGGCTGAGGATGGCAGAGGCGACCTGCTCCTAAAGAGGGTCCGTGAGGCCTGCAGGCTCTGGCACCACCTCCAGGGGGGTCTCCCGGGCACTCACCCCACAGCTAACAGGAAAGGGTGGGGTGCGGGTGGGAACAGGCGCGAAGCTTGGCAGCTCCATCCAGATGAGAATTGTCCTTCCCACACTTCCCGGCCTGCAGAGGCCTCCATTAGAGCCCCAGAGGAGTCAGAATCCACACCTCCACAAATGGACCCGCTTTCCCAGGCCCCCCGCCCAGACCTTCCCGGGCTCTGTGGGTTTTGACACCTCTCTGCAACCTGGCGGGGGTCCACCTCGCACCTTTGGTCCGGATAAAAGCTCAGGCCTGGAGGTGGCCCCAGTCTACCGAGCACGCAGCTCTGGCCATGGCCCGCTCTCCGCCGCCTCCGCACGGCCTCGTTG